GTATTCTTGCCACCTCTTCTTAATATCTTCTGCTTTTTTTAGGTCCAAACCATTTCTGTCCTTTATTGAGCCATTTTGCATGAAATGTTCCATTGGTATCTCTAATTTTCTTGAAGAGATCTCTAGTCTTTCCCATTCTGTTGTTTTCCTCTATTTCTTTAGGCTCCTATAACTTCTCCTTCCTCTTGACCCTCTGGGTGGGGCTTAGTTTGTTAGTAGCCCCAGGGTATTATGTCACCTCTTCTTATCTCTAAATCCAAGCCACTTCCTTATTCAGTTCAGTGGCTCAGTTGTGTCCAACTCTTTATGACCCCAGGGACTACAGCATGCCAGGCTTTCTTGTCCATCACCAAATTCTGGAACTTACTCAAACTCATGTCCATTGAGTTGGTGATGCCATCCAACCATCTCATCCTCTGTCGTCCCCTTCTCCTCCTGCTTTCAATCATTCCCAGTATCAGGGTCTTTTCCAATGAGTCAGTTCTTCGCATCAGGTGGCCAAAGTATTGGGGTTTCAGCTTCAACATCTGTCCTTCCAATGAATATTCAGGACTGATTTCCTCTAGGATGGACTGGTTGGATCTCCTTGCAGTCCAAGGGACTCTCAATGGACTTCCTTATTCAGCTTTCTTTAATGACTCAGTTTGAGTTTATCAGTTTCTTGCCAGGAATCTGACTTAGAAAAAGGAAGGAAACTTTAAAAATCAGGACTCAGAACCTGAGAACTAATTAGCAGATGAAATTACATGAAATTTTCGTGACCCTGTGCAAGTTGTTTAGCCTTTCTTAGCTTAGATTTCTCATCTCTTCTGTGAGGATGAGATGAGATACATAAAAAGTGCCTTTAACATCGCCTGGCACATAGAATGCATCTGAAAATGTTATTTATTAGTATTGTTATCTCTATGGGTAACAATAAGTTATGTTAATCAAATGAGGCCATACACGGGACTGATCTTACTTAATATTCACAGCAGCCCCAGGAGGTAGGTGGTCAGTATCCCCATTTTCAGATGTGAAACTGAAAGAGCTAGTTGCTTACACAATATCACAAAGCAAATACACTGCCATTTCAATCAATCGAATGTGTATGTATGTGTAGGGATGAACTGAAGCTAAGAATAGGAGGACTGATGAAAAGTTTAAGAAGAATCTATACCTAAAGACTCTCCCTCTAGTCTTTGCAACTCCCACTCCCCAATTTATGTAGAAGATGGTAGGTTTATTCTAGATAGAAGAAGAAATGAAGGGGCCTGGACTGGGGTTACAGGCACTGAAACTCTGGGATACTATACTGAAAACAAGAGTGCTAAATATATGTTTGCATATCGAATTTTGAGACCACATCTTTTTCCCGAGTCAGATGTTGCATCCAGACTTATTCCCTCCAGGCAAGAGATTAGAAGACAGTTATGGAGGATAAGATGGTTGGATGGCATCACCAACTTGATGGACATGAGTTTGAGCAGGCTCCGGGAGTTGGTGATGGACAGGGAAGCCTGGTGTGCTGTAGCCCATAGGGTCGCAAAGAGTCGGACACGACTGAGCAACTGAACTGAACCAATGAAGGAAATCAGGGAAGTCCGGGGAAAAAGCCTAAAGATCATGGTCTCAGCGTGACCTCAGTAAAATGGCACAGTGAGATCACTTCAAAAGGAAGCCCAGTCATCTAGCCCACACACATGCTTCTGGCCAGTTTGTTAGTGTTCCACTCTTAATTCTGAATTGGAATCAAAGGATCCCCAGATATTTTAAGAAAGCCTCGAACATAGAGGACAGTGGCCAAGCACAAGCGATTTGAAGGGAGAAGAGTTAAGGCAGCAACAACAAACTACCATCAATAAATTCAGATACTGGAGACGACATTGCATCCATGAAATAAAACTGAATGCTATGAAAAAAGTCGAACATTTAAAGAACTTGCAGGGACTCTTGGAAATTAAAGCAACAATTAAGTGGAAAAGCTCAAAAGAAAGATTAGAACAAAACAGAAAAAATTTCTTTCAAATAGAAAAACAGACTAAAAAAGGAAAATAGCATATATAAAATTTAAAAATTAGAGAATCAGACTACGAGGACCATCATCTAACCAAAAAGAGTTCTAGGAAGAGAGGAGAAAGAAAATGAAAGGAAGAAAAAATTTTCAAGAAAAATCCAATAAAATTTCCCTGAGCTGAGCAATATGTTGCCAAATGGATAAAAATAAATTGTTCCCAACTACATGATTGTAAACTTTTAGAACATGCTGGTGACAAGGAGAATTGTACAAGTTCTAGGGGAAAAAGGATTAATGTAAGCAAGTATCCACATGTTTTTGGACCTCTCAACAACAACTACTAAAAGCTAGAAAACAATGGAGAAATGCCTTCAGAGATACTGTGGGAAAATAGTTTCTAACTTAGAATTCTAAACATAGCCAAATAATTATTTAAATATGAGGGAAAAATATACTTTTATACATGTAAATAAAAATTTCCTTTCCATGCCCTCTTCTTCAGGAAGCTGAGAGGAATTGTCCCATCAAAATTAGGCGTAAACCCAAGTGAATAAAGAAATAGAATTTAGGAGACACAAGACCCAGTGTGAGAGAATGTTCATACAATAAGAATCCACCCTACAATGCAGAGGATGTGGGTTTGGTCCTGGGGAACTAAGATCCTGCATGCTCTGGGGCAACTAAACCTAGGCACTGCAACTAGAGAGTCAATGTGCCACAAAGAAAGACCCATAGGGCACAGCTAAATAAATAAGTATAAATAATTAAGTATTTTAAATATTTAAATATTTGATGTGGTCAAATAAATATTTTTTAAAACCTTAATTAAGGGAGGTGGAGGGAGAACCCTGGATGGAGGGGAAGGGACAGAAATATCTGCTACTTTGCAGCCACCTGGAAAGCAACCAGTGTAGAGAGGAGTGGGTCCTGTGAGTGATTTCCACAGAAATGTGAAAATGACAGCTTACCTAGTGTTTGAACATATGGAGAGGATCTACCGCTGAGAAGGTGATAAGAAACCTAAGAAAAAGAAAGTCGTTTGTCTCTTTGAACTTCAGAAAAAAAGTGAAACAAAATATAGGGAAAGAAAGATCACTGTTGAGCAATGGGATGATGAAAAGAAATCGTAACACCAGACGCCTCTTCTAATGATAGCCGTAGCACCAACAAATGCAATTATTCTGCATCTGTGTGGGTTCTGAGAGGAAGAAAACTCCAAGGAAGTCTGTCCTCAATGAAGTCACTTACCTTCCATCAGACATAGAAGTGACAGTTGCTCCTGGGAGCCCTGGTCCCCACGCTTATCCATAGTCTCTTGTCATGGTCCAAGGACCAGGAGAAATATTCATCTTGCCAGATTTCAGTAGCATAAACAGTATTGTTGGATGAGTCAGTGAATACAAGATCTTGGATGCTAAGGGGCAGACATCAATCAAAGAAAAAAAATTTTTTAATCCCTCTTTTCCTAATCAAGATAGTATAGACAATGACCTGCTCTGGTTTCTTAGCTGTTCAATGCAGAGGTCTCTCTTTTTAATTTGTGAGCTGCTTTTGAGGACTGAGCAGAGCAGAGACTTGAACATCCCCCCTTTTAAGAGGACCAACACCAAAGGCTGTCTGGACTCAGGTACCATGAATGTATCCTATGTCCATGAATTTGGTCCTTTCCCTCAAGGTCACATCCACTTCTCTTAATTATCCCCAAATGACTGACAATGACTACAGCCATATATGTTTCTCATTTTCATTTGGGTTTTCATTCCCTTGTCTCAACAAAGACAATTCAAAGCAACAAATGTGAAAATATTCTTACAGTAGAGTGCAAGACCAGGGATAATCCCTTGCTCTATTTTAGATTCTTGTTATTACTTAAATTATATCTCATGGAAAGCATTGAAACATTTCAAATAGCCAAAAAGTACCTCAGTGAGTGCCTGTATTTTGTCCAGGGATTACTAGCACACCATCAGCAGTTTCTACCATATGGCGAGTCTCAAGGATCCCAGAAATGGGAATCACAGCTATAATAATGTTCTCTAGCAGAGATTTCTAACTTTTTTAAAGGGCCAGATGGTAAATATTTTTAGCATTGTGGGCAACACAGTCTCTGCCTCAACTCCTTAACTCTGTTGTTAAGGTGCAAATACAGTCATAGACAATATATGTTCTAGTAAAACTTGTTTACATAAGCAAGTGGCTGACTATACTGAGTCCACTAGCTGTTGGGAGTTAGTCCTTGCTCTGTGGCCCAATATGTTCTTCATAGTCACAGAGCATCTTGAGGAAATGGGACCTAGTGTGCCTCAGTGGCAAAGAATCTTCCTGCCAGTGTAGGAGACGCATGGGACATGGGTTAGATCCCTGGGTTGGGAAGATCCCTGGAGAAGTAAATGGCAACCCACTCCAACATTCTTGCCTGTGAAATTCCACGGAAAGAGAAGCCTGGCTGGCTGTGGTCCATGGGGTCAAACACAGCTGAGCACAGCACAGCAACAATTATCCACTCTACCTCCTTTGGCTTCAAATTTCTGTTATTACTACAAATGACCTACAGCTCAGGAAAATGTCATTGAACATTCCAAACATACCATCTCCATTTATACATTGGCTAAATCTTTCGACCAAGTGATCAATATAGTCCTGACAATTGTGACCTGAGCCTCTCCTTAGCAGGCTCCTCGCTGCTCCCCACTTTACAATATTTTTCCTAGCAGACCTCTTTCCTGGGTGTCAAAAATGTATTAGTTGTCATCTCTGTTTTTTAGCATTTTTATTGATACTTAGGTAAATTGGGGCAGATGTGGTTTCTTAAATAGGAAACAAAAAGCATTAACCAAGGAAGAAATCTGGTGGCAGAACACTAGCGTTTACTGAAAGGTGTGGAGTGCTGTCAATATTTAAATGATGTGATCACATAAAATTCTGTGAGACCTAAATGGTTAGAAGACTTTGCTGCAGAAGCAGCTCTTAAATGCTGGCTGAAGGATTCTGGAATGTTATTGAGATGGGAGCAATGCTGGAGACTTCCAAAGACTTACACAGTAATACAAGAACTGTATTGGCCACCAGAAAGCATTCCATTTTATGGCATGTCATTGTTTAGAGCTAGAGAGAAAAGTTGGAGGCAAATGTGGGAAGCCTTGAATCATCCATCAAAGGCATTGTAAGAGAATTGGCCTCAATAGAATGTATATTATGGCTAAGCCAAGCTGAGCAGAAAATTTCCTCTTGAGCGTCAACTCCCATGAACTGGTAGCAAGGGACTAGAATGGTTTGCTGGGAAGGATTCTGAGCTCGTGTCTGCACAAGGGGAAAAAACACTGCAATCAACTAGTGATGTCTCTCACGGTCACAGGAAGGAATCGTGGTGTGTGTATATAATAACAGCATGATCCCAAATAAAATAATAGCATGAACCTAATACTGTATTTCTAGCATGACACTGAATAACTCAACTGGATGTGTTCCTTCCCCAAATGTCGGGTATAGTGACTCACACCTGTCAGTTTTCCACGGAGGGTAGAAGTCCAAACGCCCTGCCCCAGATTTCTGCAACTTCATGTGGGCTTCTGTGCTCGTGGCATCTGGAGTCCCCACTTGCAGGATGCCACGTTCATAGCGTTTATACTGTTTGTTTTGATCTAGATGTGAAATTATCACCTCCACACAGCACCCCTAAAATATCCATTCACACGATTCAACACTTTTTGCATTTGATGCAATAAAAGCCAGGTCATCAAACTCCCACCTCTGAATGAATCCCCTTTGTCAGAGGACACCCAGCCCCCACACCGCATCACTCTCCTTCCTTTACCCAGGGACACAGATGTCCTCCCACCTGCATTCAGAAAAATGTGCCAGTTTATTTTTCTCAAAAAAAGAAAATGGAACCCCCCAGCTAAGAAGGATTGTGATGCCAGTTGTTACTTTAAAAAAGAAAATTCAACTCATTCCACACTAAAATGCTACTGGAATCCCTGTGTCCTGAGACTGTGGATAATTTTTATTTCTGTTTTTCTATATTTTCTTAATTTTCCGAGTATGCATTTTCTTTTTTTTTTTTTCTGGGTATGCATTTTCAAGTAAGAATTACAGAAGAAAAATGGCGATGTTTTCCAAGTACTTGCTTCTGGAAAGGACGTGTGGAATCCTTTGTGGGGAAAGACGGACTGGCCGTCACAGCCCAGCTCACAAGGCTCCAGTGAGTCAGCCAAGCCCGCCCCCTAGTGGGGAAACCGGACAGCGCCCTCGACCCCTCCAGCGTCTCTTAGAAATTTTCCTTGCAGAAAAAGCTCCTTGTCATTTGTCTTAACAATGATTTTTTTGGAAATGACACCAGAAGCACAAGCATTAAAGCAAAAGTAAACAACTGAGACTACATCAGAACATACACACTACCTGACATTGTCCTTCTGTTTTCTTCTCTCCTTTTTTTCTTTTTTTAATTTATATATGGCTTCATCAGGTCTTGGTTGTGGCATGCAAGCTTAGTTGCCCTGTGGTATGTGGGATCTTAGTTCCCTGACCAGTGATTGAACCAGCAGCCCCTGCATTGGAAGGTGGATTATTAAAGACTGGCTCTCCGGGGATGCCCCTCTCTTCCTTTCTAATTTCAGTGTGTGTCCTTTCTCCCCAAACACTCCTAAAGGTGGAAGGTGGTGTGTGGAGACGTAGAGTTCCCCACTCTGCCTAGCAGAGCGCCTTGATCATGGTAACTACAGCACTTGATGGAAAAGCCAGAACATTTCCTCATAATTCATGGTGACCCAGCGAGAATCCCTGATCCCCAGGATTCCCAGCTGCTCTTTTGCAAGCAGCTGCTGGGTCAGTGGAGGCCTCGGATGCCGAAATGTTTCCAGATACTGGACACCTTCTGACTAATAGGTCTGAGATGGCTGAGAGAGACAGGAGCGACAGAGGAGGGCCACACGACCGCAAGGTTACGATGGAAATAGAAGAAAGTATATGATGTCCGTCATGGGTTCCAGTCCTGGGGGTTTTGTAACTCAAGTTACAACAAAACCTCACATCTATTCAAGGTGGATTATTTGTACTGATCAATTTCATTAAATTATAACAACTCTTACAAGTTCTTTTCGTTGGCTTTGTGAAATAGGCTTGTTTTCAATGAGTTTCATCAATGCCAGGCTTTCAGTAAATGTAACTGGTTTCATACTCCTACTGTTACCAGAGTCTAAGAAAATGAGGGGAGCAAATGAGGTGGGGGGGGGCACATGGATCTCTGAGAACGTTTCAGGAAGACGTAGGAGCTAGTGCAGAGTCTTGAGGTTGCACGGTGGGAAAAGAGAAATGTACTTCAAAGAAAACGGGCAAATCTGTGAAGAAGAAATTAAACTATGATGTCTGCTAGCTCCCCCTTGGCTTTAGAGATACTAACAATGTTCTGTATTGTGTCTGATGCACTTCATACAGTATCACGTGTGTTTCATACAGTTTTATAATGTCACTTAAGTTGTGATGTTATTTTGAGCCCAGTCATTCAGAATTTAAAGGAAATTGAATATTTTAAGTGTAGACCTTTATGAGGCTTTCAAAAGCCAAAAATAATCCCACCTTTCCAAACTAGAAAAGGCCACTGATGCATCCTACACGTTTCAGTTTCTAATAAGGTAATGTCACTTTAACCCAGGTAAAAAGCTCTCCAAGGTCCTTAATATTTAAGAATAAGGAGGTTTTGAAATCAAACAGTGAGACAATCACAATGGATTATGCCCAGCCTTGTTGATAGGTTCATGTCTTTCCATGACCTCATATGATAACTATTGCTTTGGAGTTCCTAGCACTTATCTAAGTCCCTGGCTGGGCCTAAGTTGTCAGTCCTCTGGCTCAGGTAGCTGCTTCTCAGTCACCTGAGAGACTTTGACCAAAGGTACCCTGTTTCTTCTTTGGCATTTTTGTCTGTTTCTTTTTTTTTTTCTTCTCATTTTTCTTTTTTCTTTATTCTTTTACTTCTGTTCCCATTTTTCTTTTTTCTTTTTAAATTTTTTTTAAAAATTTAACTGTACCAAGTCTTAGTTGCAGCATGTGGGATCTAGTTCCCTGACCAGGGGTCGAACCTGGGCCCCCTGCATTAGGAACAGAGTCTTAGCCACTGGACCTCCCATGTTTCTTATTTTATTCTTGTCTGGCATTGTGTTTTGACTCATCATAAAGACCAGTTCATGGGGTGAATTTTGAACTGACTTTGTTTTGATTTAGACCAGGTGTCTCACCAGTTCTTCCCAAATATAAGCTGATGTTAGGACTGACTCCAAGCACAGCAGCGAGTCCACCATGCCAAGGGCCCTTTGAGCCTTCTCTGCTGAGGAGACACTCAGATTCACACGGTCTCCTCCAGGCCCTCAAGACTGTCGGCAAGGGAGACTGGGCTCCAGTGAAGCTGGCCAGCGTGTCTTTATGGGAAAGCGACAGCCATAAAGATCACTGATCTCGGCAGAACTCTCCAGCCTCTGCTGACTGTGCCACAAAGCAGGAATCATGAAGGCTTGGATCATCCCAATATAGTGAAATATTTGAAGTGACAGAGGTGGAGGAAACTCCCTGCCTTCAGAGGATGCTAGTGGAGGAGAGGTGTGTGAGCACCCGTGGCTCAGGGCAGTAGGAAAGCAGAGAGGCTGAAGGCAGCATCCAGGAGACTGGTCACCAGGAGAGTGCTACAGAGACTTAGAAGCAGAAAACCTGCTCTTGGATGTGAACACAAGCATCATGCTTTGGCTTCAGCAGCAAATTCACCTTTTACAACAAACTGGACACCTTCTGGGGTGGTCCCCCTAACGCTGCCCCAGAACTCTCTCAGGGAAGAACCATAGGAAGTCATCCTGTCTACCCCGGCAAGAGATTCCCTGCCTTTAAAAGTATGGAAACTCAAGGAGCTATGGACGCAGGGTCTGAGCAGAACATATCACATTCCATTCTTGTCAATGGAATGAGAAAATCTGCTGGGGAAATTTCTCATTCTCCATCCCAACTAGAGAGGCCCTTTAAAGCAGATTGTGAAGGATCCGAGGATTATTGTGGGTCATGGATATGAGGAACTAAAGCTTTACATGGAGCCACAGGACTGGGCAGACTGACTTCTTGGCATCCACAGTTTCACGAGGAGTTGGAGATCCAGGACTCACTGATAGGCCAGAAATAAGAGGTAATATTCCAGTATTGCTCCCAGGTTATAAAAGATCTGAGGCCAGAGGCCTGCCCCATCACCCTGAAGCCTCAGCCATCAGCCAATCTAACCAACAGCAGCCCTCCTTGCCCACCCACCTGCACAGGGTCCCAGCCAACTGCAAGCACCACATCCCCACCTCTAACTGCTACCAAGAGCACTTGGAGGAAGAAGGCAGATCTGGGAGGATCAGGGCCAGGGCGGAGGACCACAGACAGCCAGCTGCCTGCAGGGAAGAAGACCATCCCTGCCCCATTTTGATTTCCCACCAGAATTCTGGCTCCTAAGTCTAAGCCCATGTCCTTACATCATAAGACCTCCGTAATTCTGTAATCATATCCAGTTGCCATCACAAATTGGACCTGCAGATTCATTACTGCTACTGCTGCTGCTCGCTTCAGTCGTGTCCGACTCTGTGCGACCCCATAGACGGCAGCCCACCAGGCTCCCCCGTCCCTGGGATTCTCCAGGCAAGAACACTGGAGTGGGTTGCCATTTCCTTCTGCAGATTCATTACAAGGACTTCTCAATTTTTGGTAAAGAAAATTTTAAAAATTCACCTTCTTTCCAATATGAAATATTAAGAGATTGCAAAAGTAGGTGCCCAAAATATGATACAATCCTTCAATAACTGACTGATCTCTGATGGATGTTTGAATCGTGACCGGCTTCCCAGCCGGCGATTGGGTAACGAATCAACATCCTTACCGGCCCAGACGGCGCGAGCGGCCGAGTGCGCACTGCCCTCTGGCATCACCCTGGGTCCGCCGGCCGCGTTTGAGCCTCAGTTCCAGGGACTCGGACCGCGGAGCCCGGCAGAGCTCGGGAGGCACTGAAGCGCCAGGGGAGACTGTGACCACGACAAATTCAGT